CTATGTGGGGCCACTGAGGAAGGGGAGCCGAAGTAGGGGCCTAGTTAAGAAGAGGGCCCTGGGAAAGAGTTCAGACTTCCGGCCACGATGGAAGCATAGGTAGACATACTGTGCCTCCTTGCACAATGAAAATTAAGGACAACAAAAATTTAGAAACAAAAAAAACAACCAGAACTGACAGAAAATTGAACTGTACGGAATTCCAATAACCGTTCATCCAAACCTGTAAGAGGGGCGGAGTCGGTGGCCCGGCAGAGAGGGGTTGCGTCAGGAAAAAGCAGTGGCTGGTGGACCTGGGTAGGCTGGTGGTGGTTGGCAGACCCCTGGCGAGGGGAGGTAATGAGCAGACCCAGTGAGGGCGTAAGGTGGCTGGCTGACCACAGTCACACATTCACACACAGATAAACCAGGCAGAGGAGCAGGTAGTGAGACAGACAGTGCAACCCAGGGCCCCAGTGCTGGGAAATAAAGCCTAAAAGCTCTGATTGAAAACACTTATGGGGATTGAGGTGCCAGGAGAGATGCCTAGCCTCACAGGAGAGTTCGTTGGACAGGCCTATAGGGTACTAGAATGTACATAAGCCCACCCACCAGGAATCAGCACCAGAAGGGCCCAGTTTGCTTGGGGGAAGTGGTGGAAGTGACTGAAATCCGGCAGAGAGCAGAGCAAGGTCCATTGTTCCCTCTCTAACCCTGCCCCCTCGTACAGCATCACAACCCAGCAACCTGGGTTGCTCCACCCTGGTGAGCACCTAAGGCTCCGCCCCTCACCGAATAACAGGCACAACCAGACCCCCCCAATAATGGCTCAAATGGAAGAACAGATCAAAGCCCCAGAGCCAATACTTTTAAGCGACCAAGAGATAGCCAACCTATCAGATGCACAGTTCAAAGCACTGATGATCAGGATGCTCACAGAATTGGTTGATTTTGGTTGCAAGTTAGATGAAAAAATGAAGGCTATGCTAGGTGAAATGAAGGAAGATGCACAGGGAATCAATAGTGATGGGAAGAAAACGAACTCAAATCAATGGAATGGACCAGAAGGAAGAAAAGAATGAAGAAACAAGAATTCAGAAAAATGAGGAGAGGCTTAGGAACCTCCAGGATATCTTTAAACGTTCCAACATCTGAATTACAGGGGTACCAGAAGGGGAAAAGGAAGAGCAACAAGTGGAAAACTTTGAACAAATAATAAAGGAGAACTTCCTGAATCTGGCAAAGGCAATAGACTGCCTGGAAGTTCAGGAAGCTCAGAGAGTCCCAAAGAAGTTGGACCCAAGGAAGAACACAGGAAGGCATATCATAATTACATTAGCCAAGATTAAAATGAAGGAGAGAATTCTAAAAGCAGCAAGCGATAAGGGGACAGTCACCTACAAAGGAGTTCCCATCAGACTGTCGGCGGATTTCTCAAAAGAGATCTTAAAGGCAAGAAGAGGCTGGAAAGAAGTATTCCAAGTCATGAAATGCAAGGACCTACATCCAAGATTACTCTATCTAGAAAAGTTTTCATTTAGAATAGAAGGGCAGATAAAGTGCTTCTCAGATAAGGTCAAGTTCAAGGAGTTCATCAACACCAAGCCCTTATTAAATGAAATGTTAAAGGGACTTATCTAAGAAAGAAAAGATAAAAAGCATGAACAGTAAGAAGACAGTAAACTCACAGTTATTAAGAATCACACCTAAAACGAAAGCAAACTCAGCAAACACAGCAAACAGCTAGAACAGGAACAGAACCACAGAAATGGAGATCACCTGGAGGATTATCAATAGGGGAGTGGGAGGAGGAAATAGGGAGGGAAAGGTACAGAGAATAAGTAGCATAGGTGGTATGTAGAATACAGACAGGGAAGAGGGCAAGAATAGTATGGGAAATGTAGAAGCTAAAGAACTTAAGACACATAGACATGAACTAAATTGGGGGGAATGGGGGTGGGAGGAGGTGTGCAGAGTGGAGGGGAATGAAGGGGGTAATGGGACAAGTGTAATAGCATAATCAATAAGATATATTAATAAGAAGAATGCTCTGAGGAGCCTGGCTAAAGTTTGGTCAGAGAGACTCTTTGTTGCGTCCTATTGCTTGAATTTAATGTCAGTGTTCAGGTATTGGACTTGAGCCCAGGGGAGATACCATTCGATGAAGTATAGAGTGAATCCCCCCCAAAAGTTTTCCTACTGGTGCAAACTTCTGTGGAAGTGTTGGCATAGTTGACCGGAGTAGTTCTGAGAGGTAGGACCTTTAACGCTTCTGAGATACTGCACTGTCAGATTGATTTATTTTTAATTTTATTTACCAAACATAAATAGTGTTTAAATGTCAGGCTCTGTTTTAAACCTTTTACAAATATTAACTTACTTAATTCTTAAAACAACTCTATGAGGTGGTTATGCTATTGCCACTCACTTTTTACAGTTGAGGAAACAGGCCCATAGAAGGTAAATAATTTGCCCAAGGTCCTGTGGGTGGTCGGACTTGGGTTTCCACCCAGGCAGCCTGGCTCCAGAGTCTGCTTTCTTAGTCCTTCTGTCAGGTTGCATCCCAGGCTTTTGTCTCCCAGGGATTCCCTTCTCATTATTCTGGACTCATCTTTATTCTCTTCAGGGACAAAGAAGAATTCTTTTTCTGGATTTATTTATTTATTTATTTTTAAAATATATTTTATTGATTATGCCATTACAGTTGTTCTATTTCCCCCCTTCATTCCCTTCCACTCTGCACACCCCCTCCCCCACCATTCCCCCTTTTTAGTGTATGACCATGTGTCTCAAGTTCTTTAGATTCTGTATTTCCCATACTACTACTCTTACCCTCCCCCTATCTATTTTCTACCTACCATCTATGCTACTTATTCTCTGTACCTTATCCCCCCTTCTCCTCCTCCCACTCCCCTTTTGCTGACCCTCCATGTGATCTTCATTTCTATGGTTCTGTTCCTGATCTAGCTGTCCTATTAGTTTGCTTTTGTTTTAGGTGTGGTTCTTAATATCTGTGAGTTTGCTGTCCTTTCACTGTTCATCTTTTTTATCTTCTTTTTCTTAGATAAGTCCCTTTAACATTTCATATAATAGGGGCTTGGTGATGATGAACTCCTTGAATTTGATCTTATCTGAGAAGCACTTTATCTGTCCTTCCATTCTAAATGAAAGCTTTGCTGGATAGAGCAATCTTGGATGTAGGTCTTTGGGTTTCATGACTTGGAATAGTTCTTTCCAGCCTCTTCTTCCCTGTAAGGTCTCTTTTGAGAAATCCGCTGACAGTCTGATGGGAACTCCTTTGTAGGTGACTGTCCCCTTATCTCTTGCTGCTTCTAGGATTCTCTCCTTCATTTTAATCTTGGGTAATGTAATTATGATGTGCCTTGGTGTGTTCCTTCTTGAGTCGAACTTCTTTGGGATTCTCTGAGCTTCCTGGATTTCCTGGAGGTCTCTTTCCTTTGCCAGATTGGGGAAGTTCTCCTTGATTATTTGTTCAAATAAGTTTTCCACTCATGGCTGTTCCTCTTCCCCTTCTGGCACCCCTATAATTCAGATGTTGGAACGTTTAAAGATGTCCTGAAGGTTCCTAAGCTTCTCCTCATTTTTTTGAATTCTTATTTCTTTATCCTTTTCTGTTTGGTCATTTTTTTCCTCTTTCTGGTCCACTCCTTTGATTTGAGTCCCAGTTTCCTTTCCATTACTATTGGTTTCCTGTGCATTTCCATTCATTTCAATTAGTTTAGCCTTCATACGTTCCTCTAATTTGTGACTAAAATCAACCAATTCTATGAGCATCCTGATCACCAGTGTTTTGAACTGTGCAGCTGAAAGTTTGGCTATTTCTTCATCGCTTAGATTTATCAGCTCTGGGGCTCTGAGTTGTTCTTGAGCCATGTTTTGATCTGGTTGTGCCTGTTAGGTACGAGGAGGTGTCCACCAGTGTGGGGCCACCCAGGTCGCTGGTTTGTGATGCTGTATGTAGGGGCGGGGTCAGACAGGGACAATGGTGGCTCCCTCCGTAGCCTCCCAGGGGCCTGCGTGGTCTGCCTCACTGCCAGCTCCTTCACTGGTCTATCTACACAGGAATGTGTGACCGTGATCAGCCCCCAGTGGGTCTACTGCCTTGCGCCCTCAGTGGGTCTGCCCGCTTCTCCACACCTGGGATCCGCCCACAGCTGTTGGCGTACCTGGGTCTTGAGCCCGGGTGGGTCTGGTGGATCTTTCCTGCCTGACCCCGCTCTGCTGCTGGTTCTGCCCCTCTTACTGGTTTGGCTGAAGGGTTGGTTGTTGTCAGACTTCCGTGTAGTTAAATTTTCTGTGGCTTGGCTGCGTTTTTGTTGCTAAAACTTGGTTGTTTTTGAACTTGGTTGTGCGAGAAGGTGCAGTGCTTCCACCTATGCCTCCATCTTGGTGGAAGTCCCCTTTTTCTGGATTTAGCCACCCTCTGGACATTGTTCAAATTGAAGTCAGGACTGAAGAAGATGTTTACTTGTATGTCTCAAATAAATCATAAGGTTATCTGTAAACAACATTCCAGGTGGCCTTTCACATTAGAAAGAGATCAAAACCAGCATTTTATTGGTAAAAATATATTCTCTACCTGTTTCACAGCCCTTGGAGAATAACATTGATGACCCATTTTAATCAAAGGTTGACTGCTTTTTTTTTCTTTTCTCCACCAGCAACCTCAATAGCATTCCACTTTAAAAAAATAGAATAAACGCTCCATTTCTTGGTAGTGAATGGTAATTCTTTGGTAAAGCCTTCAGGAAGTTGGCTTCAGATAATACACACGAATGGCACCAAAACTTATTTAAAGGCAGATCCCTTTGAGCAGAGCATATCCAGTTCTTAAAATATTTCTTTAGTGATCTCTTTACATTCAGCTTGTTTTTGTTAAGCTGGTATCTTAAAAGGCTCTGGTTAGTATAGTATTAACATCAAAGTTATCTAATATGACATGTGGAAACTTGAGCGTTCCATGGTACCTTCAACTTATGACTTTAAAACTTGAATTACAGATCTGTCTATGGCAGTACAGAAGTTTTCCCAGTCACTGCAAGATTTCCAGTTTGAATGTATTGGCGATGCTGAAACAGATGATGAAATTAGTATTGGTGAGTACTACTGTTCTTCAATATCCTAAGTAATAGTTTTAAAAGTCCTACTTAAGATACCGATTTCATTGAAATCAAACAGATTCACAGACTCAAATATTAAACATGTAAACTATTCTGACTGTGATAAAGGGCGATTTTTGGCGACTGTGGAAGAGGGTATTATAGGTTGTTTTAAAATTGAGCTCTGTGGTTTCTCCCATAAGGGGATTCCTTAATAATTCTATAATTCCGCTCAGCCCTTTGAGAAAATGTGGATGACAATGTCTCTCCCTCAAAGTTGACCATTCATTCAAACTAGTACATATCAGGCCTCTGTTATTAAGTATATTTTTTTACTTAATACCGATTTGTCTTTTAACATGAATATTTGTTTGCATAGGGGAAAAATTCAGTCATGACATATTAAACCAGCGTTGTAGGTCACAGAGCGTGGGGATCAGGAGACTTGAGCCCTAATCCAGCTTTGCTACAGTGATTTAGCTGTCTGACCCTGGGAAAAGGCAGACGCCTTCCTCAACCACATGGTTTCGTTTGCCATAAAGTGAAGAGGTTGGGTTATGTGATCTCTGAAGTTCTCTCCGTATCTGAGTTCACTGTTTGACGATCAGATTCATGTAGAATTCTTTCTCCCACATTGTAACAATCCCCACTTGCCAGTTTGTACGGATGGGGTCCATGTGTAGGCAAAATTGGAGACATGTCACATAATGAGAAGACTGTGTAAAATGTGTACACATTTGAGAGAATAATACTAAGTGTACTCACTTCCCGGTATAAAAATAGAACATTCCAGGTATCTGGAACAGTGACTCCCAAGCTTTTATGTGTGTATGACACACCAGGAGACCTTATTAAACGCCATCCCGATGGAGAAGGTCTCGGGTGGAGTGTGCAGCTCTGCCTGCGTTCCCAGCAGCCTTGAAAGGGGCGTCGACGCTGCTGGTGCACAGACCACGCTTCGAGTAGCAGAGATTTATGGCCCCTGACCTGCCTCTCCACAGTCACATTCCTCTCTTCCCTCTGCCATTTCTTTTATAGTTTTCTCAATGGTATGCATTTTTAAATAATGTATTTTTGCAGTTTTCGTAAATAAGTAGCAAGTCCAAAGCTGTCAGTGCAAGGAAAGGGCAGTGTTATCTCCATAAGAGAAAGGCTCTCAGGAGAAGATAAGCTGAATGAGTTTCTGATTCCCCGTGTGACTTTAGCTTGTTTACATTCGTGAGAGTTTCTTCTGGAGAAATTTATTGGGCAAAGTGCAGAGTCCTTTGACAATCCGTTTCTGCTTGTGGGATTTGCATTGTGCATAGATCATCGCAGGCGGGTTGGCGGTCTCCCCGGGGAGCTGAGGGCTAGTTACCCTGAGCCGTGTGTGGAGGGGCTGGCTCTTGGGATCAGAAACGGCTTCCCCTGCTCTCAGCTCTCTAGTGAAAGGTGGCTGAGCCATGCTTGTCCTTTGGTTGGGGAGTAGTTAGGGAGCATCTAGCAAGAAGGGAGAGGACTGCCAGAAGGGCCTGATGCAGCATGACTTCTTTCTCTTTACTGGATGAAAGGGCAAGGACATCAGTGACATGCACCGTGACATTTGGAACAGTAGCTGTCGTTTTGGGTGCCACTTCTTGACATTTGTCATAAATATCTAGCCCCCAATCCAGGCTTTGTAACACACACCTAGCCAGACCAAAGTTTAGATTACTAAAAGCTTAGATTAATATTACAAAAATATTAATATATAAGCATTATTATTTAGAAAAAAAAGAAGACCCACATATTCACATAACTGCAATTATTTTGACTTAGTAATGAAACCTGTAAATTCCGAGAAGGCAGAGGTCAGATTTCTATTTTTTTTTTTTAAGTACCATTTTAGCTCTAGTGCCTGACCTAGGGTGTGACTCATGGTAGACCCTTTGTTAAATTATTAAATCTTTTAAAAAATTTTTATTTATTTATCTTTAGAGGGGAAGGGAAGGAGGGAAGGAGAGAAATATCAATGTATGGTTGCTTCTGGTGCATCCCCTGCTGGGAACTGGCCTGCAACCCAGCCATGTGCCCTGATGGGGAATCGAACCGCGATCTTTTGGTTCACAGGCCCACGCTCAATCCACTGAGCTACACCAGCCAGGGTAAATTGTTGAATAAATGACAGTTTTCCTTGTAAAATTTATTTATTTTTATTTCTGTGTAATATTTTAATAGAATAATATGTATATGCTTTTCTTTATAAAGAGGATTATAGTGAATACTTCTGGGTTTGTATAGATACAATTTTTAATGATTTCATGACTTTAGAATATTTCATCATATTTATATCCATGAATTTATGAAGTCCTTATGGTATATTCAGGTTGCTTCTAGTTCGTCTTTTACTTGTTAACAGTATAGTAAGCATATTTCCCTTAATTCCACTGTGCTTCTTAAAATACCTTCTTAAAGTCACACATAGTAGCTGCAGAGGTAGGGTTTTAATCACGATGTTACATGGTCTAGGCAGACATTAGGTGGTTTTCCCAGGTTGTGCTAATGTTGGCCTCTTTGTCTCTTTCCGCTTTGGCTGAACGTTGTTGTTGTTGTGGCTCTGGCAGGTACGATGTGCAAGGTGCAGACTGATCAGTAGGAGAAAGCTTATTAGATGGACGAACATTAAGTTAAATGATAATGCTTAGAGGGCTTTGAGGAGTTAGGTCAACGTGAATACTCTATAGGGGTGTTGTATTGTTTGCTACTTTTATATCAGGAGACTTATTTTATTTAGCTCCTATTACAGGGAATATGGCTTAAACACCAATGCTTTGATAGGGAAAATCTAACTTGGAGTAAAGATATTTATAAACATAAGTTATTCTAAACAATGAATGTGAAAATATAGGTATGTTTTTATATCCTCACCATCTAACCTTTTAATGCTTTTACTGAGCCTCCAAGTGCAGTCCACATAGTCACGAGTGACAAGGTGTGTAATAAAGAAGTACTAGGCTTTCAGTGATCATTCCCAACACGCAGGGCTCCTGTGAGGATACGGCAGGCCATTGCACCGAGGGCGGGGATCCTCAAAGGCATCCCTGAGGCTGTTGGGTGAGGCTGGCACGGGTCCACGGCAGGAACTGCCCTTACCCCCCTTTGTCATGCTCAATTCTACATGGGAACGTACAAAATGTCACTTGCCTTTGTTTATTTATTTCCACTATATTTTTTTAGTGTCAGCTATCTTTAAAATAGCTTTTTGAAGCCCCACGTTCAGCTTCTTTATTTATTCCTCTGAGTCAGTCAAAGAGGAACAAAGCAGAGACAGCTGTGACTCTTAGCTTTGCGTAACAGCCACAACCGTCTCCTCTAGAGTAGTCTTGAGACATAACCAAAGATGCAACCACTGAAAGTGATGACTTACCAGAAAAGCTCATCTTTTATAAGTGAGCCATGTCAGTGCAAAATAATCATAAAGTCAAGACGTTTGCAGACTCTCTGTTAGTTCTGCTGGTGGGCATGGCTGAGAGTGCAGGAGGAAGATGAGTAAGATGTCTACTTTTAGTGTGCGTATAGTGGGATAGCGTGGAAAACAGATCTGGAACAAATTAAGGAGAAGAAGGAGCTGTTTCTATATTAATATAATTACCTAATTAGTAGAAGCTGTTCTGGGCATTTCTTAGACTCGTAGGCCTGTGTCTGGCCTGTAAATTGGCCCTGCTCTTCAGCTGTCCCTCTCTACACCCACCTTTTGGCCTTGTGCCTGTTGGCTTTTTTGTGTTCTTGTTTTGGTATCAGTGACATATTGCGGGCTTGGAAGGAAGCAACATGGGAATGATGGTCTGGGACGCCATGGGGAATTCCTGTGGCTCAGAGAGCAGGTTAGTTGTTTCCAGAATTAAAGTCCCAAGCAGGGCAGCGTCAGACACTCTCCTTTTAGCATCCTCCTGTCTGTTCAAGAGCAGTAAGAGGTCATTGCTCCTCTCTTTTCTAAGGATGAATGAGCTGCAGGTGAGCTTTTGATGGCTCCCTTTTATCTGCCCACTGCTGCGCTGGCCTGGTGGGAAGCAGCTTATGAGGCCGCCCCACTTAACTTCACACAGCTGTTCTAACTGCCCACTTTTTGTACTGCTTCAGTTTTGAACTGAGTAAAGACATTGAGTTGGGAGTAAGTGAGGAGTTGAGTAGCTAGACACTTGGAGCTTGGAAATTTGTGGTGTGGAGGAGGGGAAGGACTATAAACTAAGATAAGATTCACTCCTCCTCAGGTAAGTATATGGGTAGACTAGGTATAAAATGTATCATTTATCAACTCTAATTGCATAGTAATATGTATATAAATGCAAAAAGACAATACTCACTGTATCAGTCCTGGGACATGTACATGCATGGAAATCATGTGAACCCACGTGAGTCAGTGCCTAGTCTTAAAACCTAACTAGTGAGAAATAAAAGGCTTTCTCCACAAAAACTAAAGTACTATTCCCTTGAAAACAGGTTACCCTGGTTCATTTAAACAAGTATAAACTCAAAGATATTACTGTGAATCCGCTAGGTTAATTTAGCTCATGAGAGTAAAGGGTAATAAAAGCTATAAATCTTAGTGTATTACTTCAGAATGTATGTCCACACCAAAGCTGGGGTACGCAAGTTACTGTTTTGTTTCTGCATTTAATGCCTATAATTTGAAATCACTTTTAACCAAAGTCTTAAAAGAAGTCTAGATTTCAAAAAAAACGAAATATTGTTAGTCACACTGAACTAGTGCCAATAAAAATATTAGTCATCGATAAGAGGCAATGCTTGTTCATTCTACGTAATTTTGGAAACCATCGGAAAGTCCAGTTGCAGTTGTGCATAAACAGCTTGTGTGGTGGCCTGTGCTAATGCTCATCAGAGTCTTGGGCAATGTGAACCTTGCCCTCAAGAGATTAAACATTTACCAAGAAGGAGAGTCAGTTTGCTAGTAAATATTTTAGGTGGGGACTTCATTCCTTCAGACACACCTAAACAGAAAATTCCTGTGGTAGTGACAG